CTTCCGTGGCTCAACCACCAGTTATCAAACCACCGCGCATTACGCGGGCCACACCGATTTCCAAGAACTGCAGACCCCCCAATCTGGGTAGTTTTGACTTCGGCAGGAGCGGGGAGAGTACGGAGAGCAAAAATGCGGACCGGCACGTCTCTGATGGCGGTGGAGCAATCGCCTCTGAGGCCTTCGCCGGTGACCGTTTCGAGGCGGTGCTAGACGCGGCCAAACAGGAGGTGTCTCCGAGGCCTGAAAACGAGGAAATGCCGGCCATAATGTCGAGTAGCGTCTCCGTGCCCCGACGCGTGACAAGTTTGGCCGATCGGGAGAGTGTTCCAAGACCGGTCTCCATGGGCAGGTGCTCGCCTCTCGCGAGCTCATTCGACACCGATCGTCAGCCAACGATCATCCAAGTTGCAGATTCCGGTGGTGCGTTTTATCGCAGCGTTATATGATGTTCTCCGCATGGTTTTTCTCATTTTCTTTGTTAACTTTAACATATCAGTTATACAAACTGGGTTTCCTCCTAACAATTAAATGGAGACAGTCTAATGAGTAAGCCACACCGCCTTCTGCCTTGTGTTGTTATGGATGGAATGTTTTGTAGTACTCTAGGTAATTTTAATAGACTGTCTTGCATCTCTTTCATTGCGATCCTTCTTGTCGCCAAGCCTGCCCCCCCTGCCAGTGAAAAATGGCCTGGTAGCACACCGGTCGCGTTATACACATAACGTTTCTTCCCCGAGACTCACTCTCGAGCCCCGGCATCAGCTACACAGCAGCTAATATTATATGCAGAAGAAGATTACCAAGAAAGACTAGGGAGACTGGAATGGTCATTTCTGGCTTTTGAGCCGTCATCAGCCAACCATATCCAATCTCAGGTTTTGTTTTTTTATTAGATGTTTTCTACTATGGCCTCTGACAATATATAAACGAAGCCTTGTCCTCCTTTATATCTGCACTAACGACTAATTGTAGGCATGGCTACAACGAAATTGTCGGCATTTAACCAACGAACCCCATCTCCAGAACGTGGTAATATGCGTGGACCGCTGGTACTGGCTCCTTTGGAGCACCCCAACGATCGGGCCACTGTCACCCGCCCTTCCTCCCCGCCAACAAGTGCTCCTACCTCTATCGGTGGTGGTGGTGGTGGGGGTGTGGTTTTGCGTGCCTCTCAGGCCGCTGGTGGCACCGGCGCCCAGTACCGGGGTTCTTGGGCAGGCTCGACAACACACTCGGCCATTCCGCCCGCACCACCCACCAGCCTGACTCCGCTAGCTGAGGAGAACATCGGTCTGGTTCGAAATTCGCTGGGAAGTGATCTGGGCACTCCAAAGACCACACCTCCCGAACGATCCATTGATCAAAGCTGGTCGATGCCTGAGCAAAGGCGCGGCTCACCAACTTCTGCAATGGAGCCATTTGTGGATATCGATTCTGTCTTAGCCGAGGTGATTTGCCTTATTCTTCCTTCCCTCTCACTCATTCAGATTATTTGGCTCGCGCGAAAAGCGAATACAATTAAAATAGTGCTACTTAAAATATGTAAGTAGGTTGTTATAATGTATTACAAATCTTCCAAGATCCATCGACGAACTCTTACCGGAGCCGTTTGTAGATATTGGTTCTGCCTTAACCGAGGTGATTTGTATTATCCCTCTCACTTATTCGGATTGTC